AGATATTAAAACCGAGTGTTAAAGTACAGATTATCAATTACTTTCCGAGTAAGTCAATTTGTCGTCTAGAATTTTACATTCAAAGTTCGTTCATACCAATTGATTCTCCCCTCCCAACCAATTTTTTTCGTAAAAAAAAAATGTCTCTCTTGTACTCGTTGCTGTAGCTATATAAATGTAATGTTAGCTAAATAGAAAGGTGCTATCGATGAAAACCGGAACCAAGACTAATGAAGACATGCAAGCATCGAACCAAACTTGGCATGGGAGCCGACGCCCGCATGTTTTACGTGACACGCAACATTTCCCTCACGGACTACGTCACGGTCTGGCAAATTGCCGTCTATCGTCACGCTCGCTAGATCAAGACGTCATCAATCATCGAAGTAACGGTTTTTGTTTCATGAACCATCCAATCCATACCATTTCAAATCTGTTAGGGTCTTTAGCGATCAGATGGAAATGTTTATATGGTGGTTACATCTCCGGTTACATTGTCATACAACGAATAATGACTAAAAATTCGTTTTGTTACGTCTTTAGCTTAAACATAATCGGAGCCAATGGAGAGCCAAGCTATTGACACGTTGCCCAGCGGCACTCCATATCCTTGCCTTCTATTATTCATGAGATTAATTAATGCTAAAAGATAATTAAATGCATTAGATACTATATTCTGTAAAATCTGTTGATAGGTGAAGTTAATTAATTTTTCTTTAATAAATCAATGAGAAGTAAAATAGACAATAAGCAAGCTCGGTTTATTAAAATTCTAATTATATTCTTAACGTTATGGATTAAATCATTAAAATAGAAGAGTAATTATCGTTAAATGTTTTTTTTTTTTTTAAAAGAATAATGCTTCGTGTAAAAATATTTAAATAAGAGATTATATTGTATTAATATTTTAAACAAATACTGTAATATTCATTGCAAATTTTATGGCAAGCAAGTTGTAATTTAATTATTAAATTACTATTTGTCTCTATTTAATTTGTTAGTATATAATCCAATTGCGCTTAATTAAGCTTATTTAACCTAAATTAATAATAATTAAACAATTTAAAACTAATTATACTTAAATTTTTCTGTTTCTTGTTATCGATTTAATCGAATTTTAGCTGCACTTTTTAAATATATAGAATACTGTAACATTATTTACGTTATTAAATAATAATAAACCATGTGGTGTTTGTGCTAAAAAAAATCATGAATATTTATAGGCTTTCGATCGATAAATATTCATGTATTATAGCTTTTGAAAAATCTAGTATAGATATATTTGATTACATTATAATGAAAACTTCATTTTCATATTTTAGATAAGCCAAATCAAAGAGGTTGACTTTAATTAATATTTTTGCATTATTTGATGTTTTAATTAATTAAAAATGGATAAATTATAGGCTATAGCCTATTTATTTTGTGACTATCTGTTTTATGAAAATATGCAAATTAATTCATGCCGAGGGAAGAAAACAAAAGCCGTTCGATGGAAACACAGCCTGCAATTTGTATGACTTGCAAAAATTACATTGATTTTTATATGTTATTTACATAAGTTATAGATCTAGTTAAAATATTAAGTGTATTGAATAAAGTTTTAAAAATAAATAAAATATTATTATTATTATATTGAAAATCTAGTTATAAGAATAATTTTAAACCTACAAAATTACTATAAATTACAAAAATAATCAAAAATTCGGAGATATTTTGATTATTTCTTTATAAAATTAAGATGTTCTAGCAAATTTATGTCTTTCGTCTTTAAAATGCTGCTTTTGAATGTTAATTTGGTACTGCAACAATCGATTTTTTGATAATTTTTAATGAAATATAATTCATTTTGACCATGAGAAGTCGAACTATTTAGGCTATAGACAAAATGTCCATTGACGTTAATTTTGCACCCGTGTGAATAGCCCAATAGGGAAAAGTAGAAATTAGTTCTTGTATTAAAATATAACCACGCTATCAAATATTTTGCTACAGATTTTTCCATATTTTTCATAATTATTTTCGCTCGGATCGTTCATCATCCTTCATTTTATAATCCGCTAAGATCCTTGCAAGAGGCAAAATCGTCTTGTAATTTTTTTTTTCTTATATGAATAAATTAATTTCTACTTATTAAAATTCCGGTTGAGGAACGAATTATTTTTTAAATATTAAATAAATATGTATTTATAATATTTTTCATTCATAGATCATGAGATACAAACTGCATGTCCATAGAAAGAAGGCAAAATCTTGACAGATTTTTCTTCGGTTAGAAACAAAATCCTGACAAAAACGTACGGCATAAATCAGTTCTTATTCAATCCGGCATGAATCCGAATTCTTGCAGGTACTGTGAAGTACAGTACATACTGAATTGAGCTTATGCATATGAATTTATTTTGTTTATCATTTTATTTTAAAGGCACGTTACGCGTCTAAAATAAACAATTCTTATAACGAATATTAAGTAGGCCTGTAGGAAGATTAATCAAATTTTATAGTTTAACGTATTCGGAATGAATTTAAGGGATTCTTAACATGTTCTTAAGCGATTTCTTAACATCTTTAAGGGATTCTTAACACGTTTCGATCGAATCACGTTTTCTTGTATAGCAAATAAAGAATTCAAATAAAATTTTCTAAGTTTAAAAACAGCTTACATTTCTCGATAGAAGCTTTCTGGACTTTACCCAATATGTATTTTTATCCAAAAATATTTCTCTTTTCTGCCTACAATGTTGTTGTGTAAGTAATACGTAGTCAGCGATATCTCCACTTAAATCTGGCTTTATTTTCAATATTTTTAGTTCTAGTCTTCATTCAATAATTGATTTATCTGACTTTTTGCAGATTAAAAAAAAAAAAACGTATTATTTCGTTTAATAAAAATATTTTATTCGTCTTTATCGGCAATTATTTTACTTCTTTAATGCGAGATAAAACAGATTAAGTCTAGACTCAGTTTTGAACGGTGCCAACTACAAAAATATATGTTTAAAAAAACAAGCGAAAACCTTAACCATTAAGTTTAAGCCTGCCATTTTCTAGATTGCTTTACATTTGGTTAAAACAAATTGGTCCACTTAGAATATTTAAGAATTTCAACTAACCTCCCATTTGACCACTAGACACTCCCTACAAGTTTCCCCTGTAAATTTGTTATTTCCTTTACTTAAGTAGACGTAATTCTGTATACTATCAACGGAAAAAAAAATTACTTAAAACAAAACTAGTCAAGATTATCCACCAAAATATATTAATTTTATCGTTTCTTGTTGATTTAGCAATTAAGATTTTGCCTTTACGTAAAGTATAATTAATTCATTTATAACTTTAATCTTTAATTAAGATTTTTACCCCCAAAAAATCATATTAAAGTATTCTCCACTTTAACCAATTTTTTTTAATGTAAAATATAAACATAATAATCATTATAACCTATAGAAGTCGGCCGAACTTCCTCGTTGTTTAACAAGATTATTGGTATATTTAAATTATTTATTAAGTAATTATTAATTCGCACGTTAAAGTAAATTATTATAATTTTGTTACCAATAATCGATTTTTTGATTCCTTAAAGATTCTACGAGAGATTATCTTTAAGGAAAAGAAAAAAGAAACGAGAAGTAAATTATATGTCTCCTCTTTCACGTCGCATAAATAATGCAAATTTCGTTGCAGTTATTTTAAATGATATAAAAATGTAAATAATATAAGGCTCTAGGAAGAAAAGAAAAAAATGAAGCTGATCTACTTTACGTTTAATGAACTACTAAATCTCTTCCAGAAATAAAATGCTAGAGTAATATTTATTGAGGAAATTGCGAAATAGTCTGGCCATTAAATGTTAGAGAATATTTGTACAGGAATACAGTACTGTACATTATTATTTTTTTTTTTTTAAATGTATTATTTAATTTGTAAAAAAATATATATGTCTTGAAAAATACGTAAAAAGGTGTATTAATCAAATAGGGATATTTTAATTCTATTCGCCTGCTCTTGTAAGTTTTTGATTAAGTAGTAAATTTAGACTTGTAAAATATGATTTAGTGTTTGAAATAATTCGTTCATATGGATGTCTACAGAGGGGAAACGGGGTGCTTTCCCCCCGGATCGAGTAAAAAATTCCACCAATTATAATCGTAAAAGTGATTGACGTATGTAACCTTACACCCTCAACAATGGGATCCTTTGTCTTTTTGTATTGATGTAGTACTGTATTCTATAATCTAATTGTGGGAAAAAAACGCAAAATAATTAAATAATTAAATAAAAATTTATTCTTGTAATTAATTATTTGTCTTCAAACTTTGCCCTTCGGAAAAATTTTCTGTGGACTTCCATGTTTGTGTTCTTTTCGGTATCCTTTTCGGTAAAATACAGTAAAATTTATTAATTTAAAGCGATAACAAAAAATACTATACAAGATGAAACAAAACTGATTCTTTATGAAAAATAAATATAAAATGTGCATAAAAATTTTATTTTTTTATTATTATAAAAACTTTTGTTGCATCGTATAGAATATAAAGTCAATTGCTAGTCGAAGTGTAAGAACTATATAACAGTGAATATCGAATATATTAAAATCTCTTGATTCAAATCCAAATATAATTAAATATTTGGATTTATTGTATTTGAAAATATTTGAAATAAATTCAAATGTAGTTTAAGTTTACTAGTTTTAATTTCTATTTTATGTATGGAAGAATTTATTAATTCCATGCATAAACTAGAAACTAAAACTAGTAAATGTTAATTAAAATTAGTAAAATATTTACGAAATACTTAGGTAATTGGTCTCAAATGAAAAAAAATGTAATGTTTTCCAAGATTTTTATATATTTTTTTTTCATGCTGAAGACTTGCACTAATGTTTCTGCAGCTAAATTGTAAAGGCCTACATTTTTAGTTTAAAATTTGTATTATTTTTATCTTTAAAAACCGAATGAATTTTCAATATAATAAATGAAACATTATTTTTTTTCTTGCAGAACCAGGAGAACTTCCTAAACTTCCTCCCGTCAAGTGCCAATTGAGAAAACACAAAAGTAACAGAAAACCTCGGACTCCTTTCACCACTCAACAACTTCTAGCCTTGGAACGAAAATTTCGTACTAAACAGTATTTATCGATAGCAGAAAGAGCCGAATTCTCCAGTTCGCTCAATTTGACGGAAACCCAAGTGAAAATATGGTTTCAAAACAGAAGAGCCAAAGAGAAGAGATTAAAAGAAGCAGAAATCGAGAAATTAAGAATGGCTGCCAGACCGCTTCTACCTTCTTTCGGTTTCGGGATTCCGGGAGCAGGACAGTTTTTTCACGGTGTACCACCACCCGCTCACATCGGAACTACGACTTCGAGTCGACCATTGTTAGGCCCATTGGTTACTTCACCCTATCCAATTTTCGCCTCACCGTCAACCGCTTGTCCTCAATGAAATCTAGATTCACAGAGTTCCATGAACTCTTTTAGTAAACTATTGCTCATTTTCGAGGAAATTGAAGAATTTCGAGAGATCTGCGGCGAGATTCCTCCTTTATGGCCTATTCTTCCATAAGTGCTCCCTGCAAATTTTCCAACAAGTGTGCTTTTTAAACGGCAACGAACAGAGAGATTTCCCGTTCCTCCAAAAACCAACTGATAAATGTCCTCTATCGCCATCGAACGGAACGAAAAAAATCCGTTGACGAAATCGTGAAAAAAGTCAATTATTCAATTTAAATGAGACCATTGACGTCGTGCACGATGGGTATAGTTCCTTCACATTGACTGATAACTGTATTAAGTAAAGACGTTCGATAAATATGTACGGGGATGTTACCCCGACTAAATGAATATTACAGGCCTATTCGGTACATGAAATAAAAGTACGTTTACAGCTCGGGACCAGTAATTCCCGTGTATATTTTCAGGCACGAGGACGGAAATTTAAAAAAAAAACAAAATTGTCATAGATTATGTCATTAATTAATTGCATTTGGGTTGATGATTTCCAGTGTCAATAATGTAAATATTTCGATATATTGATGATTATAATTTGTGTTGATACCTGATTCACGTCTCGTTTATTTATTAATTAATTAATTAAACAAAATTTCGTATAGGCCCATATAAAAAAAAATTCCATAACTAAATATTAGACATATTCAATTGAATGTAGCACGTAATAAGAATCTTAACTTATTGAAATATTGACGTTGAAACGTTATATATCTATTTTTTTCGTGTATTATATTCATCATAGAGGTTTTAAATAAGTAAATTTGATATTTATATCAAGCGTACCAAGAGTTTTCTACGAGAGATTATCTTTAAGGAAAAGAAAAAAGAAACGAGAAGTAAATTATATGTCTCCTCTTTCACGTCGCATAAATAATGCAAATTTCGTTGCAGTTATTTTAAATGATATAAAAATGTAAATAATATAAGGCTCTAGGAAGAAAAGAAAAAAATGAAGCTGATCTACTTTACGTTTAATGAACTACTAAATCTCTTCCAGAAATAAAATGCTAGAGTAATATTTATTGAGGAAATTGCGAAATAGTCTGGCCATTAAATGTTAGAGAATATTTGTACAGGAATACAGTACTGTACATTATTATTTTTTTTTTTTTAAATGTATTATTTAATTTGTAAAAAAATATATATGTCTTGAAAAATACGTAAAAAGGTGTATTAATCAAATAGGGATATTTTAATTCTATTCGCCTGCTCTTGTAAGTTTTTGATTAAGTAGTAAATTTAGACTTGTAAAATATGATTTAGTGTTTGAAATAATTCGTTCATATGGATGTCTACAGAGGGGAAACGGGGTGCTTTCCCCCCGGATCGAGTAAAAAATTCCACCAATTATAATCGTAAAAGTGATTGACGTATGTAACCTTACACCCTCAACAATGGGATCCTTTGTCTTTTTGTATTGATGTNTATAGGCCTATATAAGCTAAAATTATAGTAAATACATTGTTCTTCAGTAGAAAATACTAGTAGGGGAGATAAATTTACAGATAAATTTTATCCCCTTTCTTCATTGTCATACCTATTTAGGTTAGATCTAACACATTTAATAAAATTTATTGCTTTAAAAAAAATCCAGTTTATCATTAAAAAAAATATCTTATATTTCAAAAATAAATTATTTTTACCCCCAAAAATGCTTAACTTATCACAGCTCGTGTGTATCATATATGCTCTTTTGTTTCCTAACATAATTATTTATGTATTTAAATTAAATTTTAGTTGGATTAAGTTTAAATTTAAAAAAAAGCGACATTTAATTTACAGTAAATTAGATGATTAGAAAACAAATTTAACGAGAGAAAATGGCTTTATCTTGGGTTCTGGTTATTCAATTGTCTATTTTGTATTTGCAGAGAAAAATATAATAATACGTGGCAACCGGCTATATTAGCAAGTGATATCGTGTTAGACTTAGTTTACAGCCCGGGGCTGGTCGTAAAACCATTAACCCGAATAGCCTAGCAACCCGCCCCTTCGTCATTAAGTCACATCCACCCACATCTGACGTCTCCATTAGAGCTAGCTTCGGGGTGCAATTGGCCCTTTGCCTTCCATCAATACAATTTGTAGTAAATAAGACCCAATCACCCATTTTTACCTTATGCATTCATCCTCGTCAACACACCAACTATCTCTATTGTCACCTAAGTTCTATTGTATTGGTACTGTTGACATTCCGCACCTGCAAGACATCGATTCCATATTATTATTATTTTTTTTCTTTTCAACACCTTAAACGAGTATTTACTTAATTTGCATAATTAATTTAAAGAGTTACGACCGTTCTTAATTGTGTTTACATCTGTCTGCATACTTTAAATACAATCAAGGAGGCAATTTATTGATTCAATTCTCAGAAGAATGACTTCAAATTGCGTTCGTATATATATATATAGGCCTATATAAAATCGATAGAAATTTATTAATATAGGCCTACGAAAACAGGAGTGTTCAATAAAATTTCTGGTGATAAAACGTTTAGCATAAACTTATTACATAAAACTCGGTCGATAAAATATTAAGAACTCTTAATTAATTTTAATTAGCGTTAAATTTGATTCGTACGAAATTAATTTAACTCATACAAAAGGGTGGAATTCATTGGAAACAAAGTGTTTAAAGAGAAAACAAGCTTCTTGTTTACTTATTAAATATTTATTATATTACTTAAATCTGTTTTTGTTTATTTAAAATTTATTTTAAAAAAAAAGTATAATAAATCGATTTATTATTAATTAAAGTAGAAACAAATATGTTTACTCGAAAAGAAGAAAAAATAAATTAATTTTTTAACTTTTAATTCGTAAAAACATGCAAAATACGAGTAAAATTCCAGATTTATTATGATTTAAATTACTTAATTACACTTAAAAATGTAGGCTATATATTTGCTTGTAAAATGAACTTGTGAATTGTTAATAAACAAGTTACAAGTATAGGGTGTTATTACGTCCGTCTTAAGACAAAGCCATATTCAGGTAGAAAAATATAATTTTCTCGGATGGAAATTATATATAATCAGCTGCGTGTGCCCTACGTTACTCGTGCTTTTTAGGGGTGGGGATTGGTGAGGTTGGGTTGGGAGAGAGTTATAAAAACAATGGTCTTAATAACTAAATGTACTGTACAATACAGTACATTTATTGACCCGAATATTTAACATAATGAATCTACAAAACACAAGAAATTGTACGGGTTTAAGTTAAGAGAGGATGGAATTTAGGGGTTTTTGGTGCGGATACAATCAACATACCCCTTTACCTAACACACATAATAACTTAAAAGGGGTATACTTTAGGGGTAGTAATTTTAGGGTATCGGAGAATAATAATGTTAAATTTAGTGCAGCTACAGTAAATAGTATAGAATCATTTACCTAATTTGCATACATATTTTGAGTTTTATATACATAGATACAAGAGAGAAAACCATTAGAGTAAAATAAAAAATGATTATTCTTAGTGTTTAACTGGTTAAGACATAATCATATATTATATTTTTGATTCCTTATCAGGTTTCCCTATCAGCGTACTTAAATTCTTTTTTTAAAAACATGATTTATATATTCAAATTTTATTACACAATACTTTGACGTTATTTATGTATTAAAATATATTTCATTTTTTACGATAGATTTGTCAGTTATAGTTTTACTACATAATCAAACACTTTAATCACCCATACATAAATAAATCATGCATTATATTCTACAAGAGTTCATATTTATGTAAGAGCTGGAATAGAACCTTTTTATTTGCAGTTTCTAAGCTAAATTAAAGATTTGAAACTTTAAAAAAACTTAAGATTTTTTTTATTTATTTAAATAATTTGATCGGCAATACAAAAAAAAGACATCGCTTAATAAAAACGAAACGTTTTGAGATAGGTTATGCAAAAGAATTGGAAGTTTAAATATTTAAATGAGAAGAAAATCTCCGATACCGTTTGCAAAATCGATAGTGAATCTATGATTTTATTAAATTCGGCAATATTTTCTAACATTTCTAACCATTTTATCATTTATTTTACCATTTTATTACAGTGAAACCTGCGTAAACCGGAATCGAATGGTATCGAATACATTAAAACCTGTTCAAAACCGGAAACCTGCCTAAACGGAAAGATTTTTCTACGTTAAAAAGAAAGAACCTGTTGAAAACGGAAATCTGACAAACTGGGAAGAATATATAGGCCTATATTCGGTACCGTGCGATTCCGGTTTAAACAGGTTTTACTGTATATATTTTTTCCCGGTTTGGCTGGGTTCCGTTTTAAACAAGTTTTTTTTTCGTATTTAACATAGAAAATCGCTACGTATCGAAGAATTTTTTCTCATTTAGTCAGGTTTCGTTTTATTTGGGTTTCATTTTAGACAGGTCTTTACTATAATTAGTTAGCCGTTAGTTTTAAGATTAAAGATAACAAAGTCATTTTAATTTCAATGCTTGAATTACACGGGAGAAGATAAAATTCTAAACATTTCCCTCCCCCTAATTTCTATTAAAAAGTGTTTATTATTAATTTAATTATAAATTTAATAAATTAATTTTTATTAAAGCAGTTTCCTATTCTCTAATTATTGACTTACGGTCAGATAGAAACCATTTTAATTACAATAATTTAGAGTTAATTGATGCAACCCCGTGTCCTGAAAGGCATACTATATTAATGTATTACTGTCTAAAACAGAGTAAATATCTTTTTAGTCAAAGAAAATCTGGAAAATCTCCTCGAATAACCATAGCAATGTTCTCTTCCTCATCTCAATATTCTATATTCTAGGTCACTAGAGCATGATAACCTGATACCATTTTAAATTGAGTTGAGTATCTTCTCGCAGATTCATCATTAACTTTGATCCTTTTAATAAAAATTTCTTTGAAATAAATACATATAAAGTCGAAAAATATAAGGGTAAATAAGATATTTGGGATAACTTATTGCAAATTTCGAGTAAAATACCAAGATACCTATCAATAATTTAACCTTTACTTGAGAAGATAAATCAGAATGCCTACTCAGCATTCAATTTGATTTTTTACAATGTTCCCTTTCTGATCAACAAAATTTAACTGCATGGAAGGTTATGAAAAAAAAAATATAAGAAAAAAAAAGCTTTATCGCCTGTATCCATTTACTTGTAAAAATAAAGAGGCAGTCATTATTACTCTGCAAGTTCTCGTGCTGATCCTTATCTATTTTAGCAACCCGACGAAAATTTCGTCCATTTTTGTTGGAGAAAACGGAGTTTTTCTATGCTTCTTTGACCGCAAACCCGGCAAATAGTGACGGATGAAGTTTGTAAGGTGTAATTTATTATTAGGTACCTGACTGGAGATAGGACGTTAGAAACGTGATACCTGCCTGACCCACACCTGACTAATTGAACGTGCTAAATACGCGATAGAAAAGGAGATTAGATGGTAGGTCGTGCACCTTTCTGCATCAACAACTCTATTCATATACCTTGAATACGGCTTTAAATATAGTTCTATGGCACCTTTTTTTTTTCGTATTTTTAACACAT